GGGCTGGCGTCCGCGCCACCCTGGGCACGGCGGGCTGCTGCGGCCGGGAGGCCTGGCCGTGCCCCCGGGGCCCAATCATTATCCTGGGTCCCTGAAGCCCCGATCCGAACGTCCAGCACGTGGGCCAACCCTGGAGGGGCGGGCGGGGCTGGGCCTCCCCCGCGGGCGCGCGAGGCGGGACCTCCTCCGCCCCAGTGTCCAGCCTGGGACGCCCTGTGGGGGGAAGGGGGGAGGGCAGAGAGGCCGGGAGCCGCCCCGCCCCCCCCGTCCTGGAACACAGGCGCCCATTGAGAGGCGGCTCAGAGCCGCTTTGTCCGCAGCGGTGGCCGCAGGCCTGGCCCCTGGCAGCTGCACGGCTCCCCGAAACGGACCCTTCCCCCGCCGGCGGCGGCTCCGCGCCCGGCCCGGCAGCAGCCCGGGCGGGCCGCCCCGCCCCGGGGATGGGGGGGTCTTTCCCCAGTGGGAACGCTCCACAGTAAGACCCCGTTTGTTCACGAAGCAAGCCGGCCACCCGAGCACCGGGGAGGCCCGGGTGGCGAACGGGGGGCACAGGGGTGCAGGGCGGAGGACGTTCATCAGTCCTGTTACACACTCGCGTGCAGTGCCCGTGCCCCGCGCCCCCACCATGCCTAGGTGCTGAGATCAGCAACAGCCACGGCCACCTTCGCGTTTCAGGCCACTTACAAGGTACTTTCACACCTGGGCCTCAACCTTGTCGCCATCTTTCCACTCCATAAGCTAAACCAGATTGGCAAGCATTATTCCCAGAAGCTAGGACTCAAGAAGGTTAAGGGACTTTGCTCAAGGAAGTAATAGCCAGTAGACGGTAGTGGTAGGGGAAGACCTAAGTCTTCCAGCTCAGCCTGGATCCCACTTCCAACAGCAGACAGCTTTTCTGGTGTTCTGAGGTGAGGCAACCCAGCAGGTGGCTCATGCCTGTCACCCTAGCTGCTCAGGAGCTGAGATCTGAGCATCAAGGCTTACATAAGTCAGCCTGGGCAGGAAAGTCCAGGAAACTCTCCTCTCCAATTAACTGCCCTCCCCCAGCTGAAAATAGAAGTGTGGCTCAAGTGGTACAGCACCAGCCTTGAGTAAAAATGCTAATGCTCTGAGTTCAAGCCCCAACACACACACACACACACAACCTAACAGTATATAAAGAATTTAGGAAAGGAAGGCAGAAAGAGGAGCAGCCATCCAGGAAAGCTGAAATAAGGGGGGTGGGAAGCTCCTGCCTGGGCCCTGGACAGTTGCTGCAAGCTGATGGGCCAGCAGGAGTGCACACTCACACAGGACATGGCCATAAATGCCCAAGCCAGGAACTGTCAGGCACGCCTCTCTGTTCACTGCTACCTACAGCCTGCCCAGTGCCATCTGTCTCTTTCCTACACCACAAGCTCCATGAGCACAGAACCCGTGGGTGTGTTCACTGTGTCACCCAGTGCTGGCTGTAGGTGCTCAGTCATTGTAGGTGGACCAGCCCTCAGGTGAAGATCTGTCTCCTGTCTAAGGTGATGCTTTCCTGGGTGCCCTTGACCCCATCTGGTCTGTCTCTGCAGTGTCTTTTCTCTTTGGTATCTTTAGTTTCTTCTCACTAGCTTCTTTTTCCTAGGAAAAAGAAACCTCTAGTCTTTTAGAAAAATAAAATGAAGTTAGGGTGCCAGTAGCTCATCCCTATAATTCTAGCTACTCAGGAAGCTGAGATCAGAAGAAGGATCACCATTCAAGGCTAGCCCAGATAGAAAAGTCCACTAGACTCCATCTCTAAAGTAACCAGCAAGAAGCAGGGAAGGAGTCATGGCACAAGCAGTTAATACTGACCTAGCAAGCATTTAGGCTGAGTTCAAACTTTATTACCACCAAAAGAGTGGAAGGGGGGAGGGACAGAGGGAAGGAAGGAAGGAGGGAGAGAAAGAGGAAGAGGGAGGGAGGTTGTGAGGGAGAGAGAGACAGAGAAAGAGATAGAAAGAGAAAGAGAGAGAGAAACCACCAAACAAAAACAAACCCTACAAACCACATGCTTCCTGAAAGTCCCTTTCTAGTTATTTTTCTGCTTTTCTCCCTTTTCCCCCCAATATTCCTCAAAGGTTATGTTCCTGGCTCACAATGACACCCAACTCCCACCAACCCCATTGATAATTTCTAGCTGCAAAATCCTAGGAGAAAATTTCAACCCATGGATAAGAAATGCTTAGTTTGGGTCAAAGGGTGAGGGAGGGCCTGGGGTGGAGATGGAGAGGAGAACTGGCAGGTCTTAGCAGGGGATGCTGGAGCCTAGTAATGAGGAGTTGGGATGAGCTAGTTATGTTACTGTAATGGACTTGAGTCCCAAGAGACACCAAGGAAAGGGATAAGGCAGGGACAATGAGAGAAGTGGAAGAGATTGTAGAAGAGATTGGGGTCTGTAGGGATCCTATAAATCTCCAAGTGGGGCATAAAGGTATATTTCTTCTCACCAAGATAGTGTCTCAGGTCCTAGAGAAGAGATCCTTTCATGGAAAAGAAGGGGGACAGAGAGTAATCTCCTATCAGATGAGACAAAGCATGGGACAAAGCATGGGTGTGGCCAGCAGGAGGACCCGCCCAGGGTGCCTGGAATAGGATCATCAGGAGAAGATAGACAAATGAGTTCATCCCCTTGTGCCCTGAGGTGCAAGAAGTTAATTCTCCCTGGTCTCACACCTGGGAAATTGGGCTTTTGTGGCTTCAAAGCCCAGGCCATTGGGATCCCCAAGACCATCTTTAAATATCTGAACTGCTTATGGCCAGGTCTGGAATATTAAAAACAAACATACCCAGGACCATTGGTGCCCAACCTTTTCTTAGCAGAAGTCTGCATGGCATGGGAAGGTAGGCACCATGTCTGGGGTGGGGGAAGCTGGGAGGAGGGGAGAGCTGTGACCTGCCTGTGACTTGGCTGGGATCCTGGGCCATGATCTGAGTTTTCTGGGGTGCATGACCAATCCAGGGTGTCTCCAATCCTTTCCATGCACCACCTACTTGCAGAGCCTGACAACTGGCCCCTAGTCTTGAGACCTTCTTGATCTTCCAGGACCTGGGGTGTGGGGGGGAGGGGGGCTGATCTTCCAGGATGGGGGCGGAGGGGGGGGGGCTTGGCAATTCCTCACCCGTGCTTGCCAGGCTACAGAGGCCTCTGTATTCTTTCTGCCTGGCTGTGGTGGCTTCAGCTGAGCCACTCCGATTTTTTTTTAAATCTCTCTTCCTAATTCCTGCTTCTGGTCAGTCAGTGCCCTCTCCACAAGAGTGCCCCAGACTACCTGCCCTCCTCCACCTGGCCTGACCTCCGCCAACCCAGCCCTGCACCCAGGTAACTACGCCTTCCTTCTCTCCACAGGACCCTGCAGCATTAGCTGTGATGGTCTCACCCTCCGCAGAGAGCCTTGAGCAGATTACCCTTGAGGTCCACAGCTGGAAGACTAGGCTCAGGAGACTACCAGGAACGTGGCCAAGGTCTCCTGGTTGAGCGGGGGATGGAAGGAACCCAGGTCTCTTTGCTCCGACTGCCCCACAACCCACAAATATCTTTGGTGTCTAATCTTTCTCGCTGTTAAAGACGTCTTCTGAGCTTGTCCTTTACAGGAGGCACCTGAGGGGTGAAGGATAGATGAAGGGCAGTGAGGTCACCCTCCCTACCATCCACAGAGGGGCTGGCCTGGTCCATTTGGGTGGCCTACGTGAGTGAGCCCCTTCTCAGGCACATCCTGGTGGCTATGGGAGCAGTTGCAGGCTGCCAAGATCTGGCCTCAGGGGCCTGACCCAGGGGGTGGGGAAGATGGGGGAGGGCCGGAGATGGGGAGGGCTAGGTTGTCTTTAAATGGCACCTTACTCAGCCCACAGCTCTGCCAGCTGGGCAGGGTGGGAGCAGACAAGTTATTTTGAGATCTGCGGGTGAGAGAGAGGAAGGCTCTGTTTACAGCTCTTCCCTGTCTGTCCCCACTCCTACTCCTGGAAAGGGCTTAAGACGATTGGGGAGCCTTTTCCACCCTGGGTGTGGGGGGGGTCTGTTTCTAGCTACATGCACAAGCGGGAACTGGTGAATCTACAAAACACTTGAGGTCTTCCTTGGCAATACCAACAAGGCAGGTTTAGCTGTGAGAATTCCATTCCATTTGCAACTAGATCAACAACTAAAATGAATACTCATTATGAGCTTTCATTGCACTGGTTTTGTGTTCACTTGAATCCTCACGATCACTCCATGAAAGAGATACTCATGTACTTGCTCTGTGGATTAAAAAGTAGAAGAATATGTAAGTACCACAATCACCAAGTTGGTTAAGTGGTAGAATCAGGATTTGAACCCAGGCTGGCTCCAGAGCCCATATTCTGGGTTGTTTTTTGTTTTGTCGGTCATAGGGCTTGTACTCTAGGTTTGGGCACTGTCCCTGCGCTCTTCAGCTCAAGGCGAGCGCTCTACCACTTGAGCTACAGTGCCACTTCTGGTTTTCTGGTGGTTTATTGGAGATAGGAGTCTCATGGTCTTTCCTGCCCAGGCTGGCTTTGAACCATGGTCCTCAGACCTCAGCCTCCTGAGTAGCTAGGATTACAGGCGTGAGCCACCAGTGCCTGGCCCAGAGCCCACATTCTGAACCACTAAATAAGAACAGGGCCTGCTCTGCCATTTCCTGGTTCAGTGAGCTTGGTGAATCCTCTGGTTTAGTTTTCTCATGTGGAAATGAATTGCAGTTCTGCCAAACCCACTGGAATTCCTGAGAGTGAGCTAGCAGAGGCACTGGTCCATTCCGTCATCTGACAGCCTGGCCTGGGCCTGTGACCTTTCTAGTGAACCTCTGGGTCAGGGATGAGGAAGGAGTTGGTAAAGGAAATGAATTTGCAACCATCAAGTGTGGAAGTAATCGTTTTCAGTTGAAACAGATGGGGCCAGATCTATCCTACTGGGGGAGGGATTCCATTTGTTGTTACTATGACTTATGCCCCCTTCCAGCATCACAAGAGGCCCAGGTCTCCAGGTGCCAGTCCACTGTCTATTCAGTTCAGCATCTATGCTCACCAGCCTGCAAAGCTAGCTGTGTGGGCCTGTGTGATCCAGGCTGACTCCATGCAACCTTCTTCCTAGAAAGCTCCCTCATGACCATAAGCTCTGCCAGGACCAGGGCAGGGACAAACCACACATAGGCCACGGACTTCTCTGCCTACTTGTCTGGGGGAACCGCCCCTCCCCCCAACCAATATGTCACACAGAAAAATCACAGCAAGACACCTTAGCAAGGGGCAGGCAGAGCTGAGACATCATCTGTTTCTCTGTGTCACCAGACAGGGCTGCAGTCCCTGCCTCACAGAGCTGTCCTCCCAAAAGCTCATGCAAACCCTGATTTAGCATTATCAGCATCTGTGAAGCAACGAAGTCACACTCAAACACAGAGTCAGAGGCTGAGCCAAATGTAGCCCCCTTCCCTGGGGGTGGGAGGCGGGGGGAGGGAACCCCTTAAGTCAGCATCAATGCCAGCCACGAGCCAGCGAGGGCCTCATCAGTCACCATTTGGCAGATGAGAAAACCAAGGCTTGAAGCTCTCCCTTTCCAGCCATGAAGGCGTAACAAGTCTGGATTGAGTGGACTTCCTGGGCCTTCTGGTCAGGCCCCTCATTGTTTTTCTTCCTTGTCTGCCACAAAATCATATATTCCACACAGGTAAAGAGAACTTAGTTCTAACTTGCAATTTTAGGAAACCAGCAGTAATGCTACCCTGTAAAAAGTCAAAATTGGAAAGCCAGAATTCTCATCAGAGATGGCTGCTGACCAGCACTGTCAGGGAAGACAACCACTTCACAGCTTGGAATTCTATTTACAATTACGGTAGGCTGTGTTGTGACTGTGACTGCAATCCTGGTGCAATACCATTGTCACAGTTCCAATCACTGTGACAATCTCTCTCTATGACCCTTCTGATGCCCAGCGCCTGGTTGGGCAAGTCATTCCCCGGGAAAAACTCATTGCACTTTTTTTTTTTGTTGGTCGTGGGGCTTGAACTCTGGGCCTGGGCGCTGTCCCTCAGCTCTTCAGCTCAAGGCCAGTGTTCTACCACTTGAGCTATAGTGCCACTTCTGGCTTTTTCTGCTTATGTGGTGCTGAGGAATGGAACTCAGGGCCTCATGCATGCAAGGCAAGCGCTCCACCATGGAGCCACCTTCCCAGCCCCCTCATTGTACTTCTGTAAAACAATTTATTCCATAGCTGGCAAACACTCCTCCCTTAACCATACCTGTCCACATCTCATGAACACATGCACCTCTTCTAGTCACAAGTGTAGTCTAGGCTGCTGGTTCTCCCATTTGAACTGGTACCACAATTTTCCTGGCTCCCACTGCCCTCCCCTCCAGCCCAGGTGCTAAGTCCCAGTCACCTCTGGCCTGGTACCAGAACCCATGTCCATGTCACTTCTCTGCTGCAAACTCATAGGCGCTCTCCTATTCTCTGGTGGAAACAGGCCCTTCAGGACCCTTCACCTCTTCTCTCACATGTCCTCTACTTCCAGCTTGGTCTCCCAGGAACCATACATTCTAATACATTTTTTGAGGTGGTGGTGCTGGGGGAAGCCAGGGTCTCATGAATGCTAGTGAAGTGCTCTACCATCAAGCCACAATTAACGTCCATTTTTTAAAAATATTTTTAATGTGCTTATAAGCTTCCAAAATCTAGTTGCTTCATGATTTTTTCTTCAAGACTTTTTTTTTTTCCTTTGCAACATGCTTCTCCACCCTCATCTGCATGGCAAATGCATCGGAGAGGCAAGCCGCAGACCTGGCAGTAAATACAAGCTGGTGGACTGCAGTCTGACATCTGTCTCAAGCTGTAAAATGTGGTAACAAAAGGCCATTTTGGCCTGAGGTCATTCAAGTATGGGTATTTAGCAGTTGTTGGCACTTCAGTGCTCCTGAGGTCTTAGCTGGGGGGGGGGTAGTCAGCCCTTCTTTGCAAGTGTTCTGTTCCAAGGCCATCTTTCTCCATGTAACCCCACGTGGTTTCTACATTGAACATGGCATTTACTTCTCGTAGCACTCCCTTTTGTTGCACTATTGATTTCTGATCCCTAATTAAACTCACTCCTTGAGAAAGGCCCGATACTTTCCAACATCTAACATTAACTTTCCATAGCCAGCAGGTGTGAACTTCCCAGAAATGGACAGGAAAACAGAATGGCCAGAAATCCATCTCACAATCTACGATTAGAAGTAAGTCTGACTGGCTGGGGTTAAAAAGTACAGTATGTCCTTCACTGGCCTACCCTTTACATTTCAAAAGTAGTGTCCCAGATCAGCATGCTCTGATACTTCCTCCCCCACCCCCCCAAGCCCCGCATGACACAATTTAGATCTTGGCTACCTTTTTTTTGATGAGCACTGATCTGTCAAGGCCATTATTTTGTTTGGTGCTAGTCCTAAGCTTGAACTCAGCACGTGGGCACAGTCCCTGAGTTTTTGTGCTCAAGGTTAGCATTGTATTTACTTGAGCCACAGCTCCACTTCCAGCTTTTTTGGCATTCTGTTGGAGATAAGAGTCTCTCGGACTTTGCTGCGTGGGTTGGCTTTGAATCACAATCCTCAGATCTCAGCCTTCTGAGTAGCTAGGATTTACAGGCTGAGCCACCAGTGCCTAAGGACCCTCTTCCCTCTACTTGAGCACCACAAAGGAACACAGCAACCAGGTCACTAAGTTCATGGTAATCAGAGGGTGAGGTCTTCTGTTCTATCTCAACCTGTTTCTGATCTCCCAGCCCAGGGCCACACTACCCTCCTGGTGTCATCACTGGCACGCAACACTATAGAACCTTCCATTTCCCCAACCTGCCATAATGCTCTATTGCCAACCTTCTTCTACTGAGACCAGCTCACACTTTCATGATTTGTGGTTTACACGACTGAACTCTGCACTTCGTACAAACTAGGTGATTACCCCGCCCCACCCCGTCCCCAGCCTTCTTTTACCTTTACATTCTGTGCATTTTCACAGCTTGTGGAGATTTGGATCTTGCCACTTCCCAGAAGCTTCCTGTTATCTAAAGTTTGGTGGTCCGCACTCCTCTCTTATCTAGTACCATTTCTTTCATAGCTTCTTTTTTCAGTGTGTGAGCCCTTCATCAGATGGGCTGAGATGTGAGGATTATGATTCTAAGCCAGCTTGAACAGGAGTCTATAAGACTCATGTCCAATTAACTACCAAAAAGCTGGAAGTCATATGGCTCAAGTGATAGAGCACTAGCCTTGAGCACAAATGCTCAGGGACAGCACCTAGGTCCAAGCCCCATGGCCAGCACAGAGAAAAAGAAAAAAAGCGTAACAAGAGCAGGAAGAGAAGAGCATTGCTAAGGGACTCAGGACCACTTCTGGTCATAGACATGGACAATATGTCTCAATTAACAGGCTCAAAAAGAGTACACATATTGTTCTGCTGAAGCCCCAAGACTTGTCAAACTTAGTTCAGTGATGCTGGTATGAGACCATTCTTTTATGCCAGGATCATGGCCAACTTAGCCTTGTGAACAGACTACTGCCTTTAGCACCAAACCCAACTGGTACTGCCTTGAGGTCAACTATGGAGTGAAGCATCACACTGTTTTTTTTTTTCTGGGTTCCACTTGGCCAGATCTGCCATCGTTTTCTCTCAGTCACTCCTAAACATCTGGGACAGAGGAAGTATTAGCTTCAGGATCTGGCTGGCTGCAGTCAGCTGGGAAGATATCCACATGTGAACATTATTAACTGAACCACTTCCAACTTACCATGGAGACCGAACAGTAGGGACATCTAGTGGCATGAAGTCATTTCCAGCTATAAAACCCTCAGGCTCCCACAAAGTTCTACAGAGTAAACACCCCACAGTGAGACCCTCTCCTTAACAGATCCAAGTCTACTTCCCATGCCATTCCTTCCTGTAACACCACTATGCTAAAGAAAAAATCTGTGGCTATTAAAAATGGGCCACTACATGTGAATAAGGTGGTTTTACTTTCCTCTCACTTTTTTTTTTTTTTTAATTCCTAGTTAGGTTTTAAGGAACCGGTAACAGGCTAAACCTAATTGAGAGATGTGACAGCACCCTTACAACTTTTCTTGGTAGTGCTGGGGATTCAAGCCAGGGTCCTGCACAGGCTAGGCAGGCATCCTCCACTCAGCTACAGCCCTAGGCTCCTTAAGCATATCTGATGGAACATCAATCCAACAAGAATTACTTTGAGCTAAGTTTGCCAGATTGCATTTAGAAAGCCTAAACAGGCACTACCCAGTCCTTTTTCCTCCTCTATTTTACTTTATTTCTAAAGGCAATCAAAGGCAGAGGTATTAAGATACCTTATACCATGCAGACTAAATTCATTTGTAAAGATTACTTTACTGTCCTAGAAAAATACAGGTTGCAAATTTGAGGGCTACAACTTAACCACTTTAGAGGCTCATTGAGGGTCAGGGGACAGCCTCTGAATACCAGATTCTGTGGTAACATATGAGAGGCTATTAAATATAGTTAGGTCAGGTGGATTTTTAAAAACTTCATTTTTTTCTTTTTCCATTTTTCTAAAAAAGGAAAAACAAATCGCCATCTGTCTGGCTTGTTTTGTGTATGCAGGTATATATAGGAACAGCCTGGGGGAAGGCTCTGTCATGCAATGAAGCGGAACCAAGATAACTTCCTTTGACAGAAGAGTCTTAGTGTTGCAGGACAGGAAGGCGGGCACTGGAAAGGGCTGAGCATGGTGCTGCGCTCACTTGTTCCCACTGAGAACCCAGGCCACTGATGAGTGGTTGAGGGCAGACAGCACGATGATCTCTGGAGGGAATTCTCATCTGATTATATCAGATGTCCTATGAAAGTAGACAGTATGTTTTAGGATAAAAATGGTCGTGATTTCCTGTGCTCCTGGGGTGGGGCAAAATAATCCATGAACCCATAATCCTTTTGGGTATAGATGTTTCTGGACTGACCAGCAGAAAACACTAGGAATAGAGATGGGGAGAAAGAAGGTTCCAGAAATTGGGGATCTTCACAGGGATGCTGAGAAATGTCCTTTGTTCTGTCATTCCTAAGTGCCAGCACTGGTGATCATGGTCTCGGGAGTTGGTCAACGTCACTCCAGAAAGCCACTCTAGGCTGGGAAGAGCATCTCTTGGTCAGAGGACTGCAGAATGGTCCATGGTTGGGCCCAAAGGGGAAGCACAGGTGGGAAGACACCCCCTTTAGATGCCAATGGTCTGTAGAACCCGCCTCTCGTTGTCATTAAGGTGGCCCGAGAACATTACGTAGCAGGGCTGCTGAGCAAACTGGCAGAGGAAGTCTGTGAGATAGGCCTGTGGAAGAAAGTGGCATCACTGAGGGTTCCCGGCTCAGCCTGGTGTGGTGGAGTAAGAGCCACCACCAATCTGGGCTCAGCCAGGTGTGGTGGAGTATGGACCACCAGATGCCAGCTTCCTAAGGGATCAGCATTTACTTCCCTGGATGGAATTTAAGTACAAGCCAAGGACAAATTCCAAAGGGAACCAAAACATTAACTGTTTCTATTGCTCAATCTCCTATTTTACCCTGGGGACCTTCACTATGTGGTCCAAGATACCGGATTACCACAGTGGTAGAAAATCCATATAAAAAGTTCCAGCTCTCTCCTGCCCTAACCCCTCCACACCCAGCAAGGCAGGAAGTGCCCCGAGGCTCCCAGTGAAGTCAAGAATGCTGAATAGATTTTAGCCTATATCCTGCTTCCATGCTGGACAATGTCCCTTGTAAGACCTCTCCTCTTAATGCATTCACTCACCTGCAGGTCAATCTGATAGAGAGGATCCTTCAGAGCATCAGGGTCATCTTCCTCATCATCTTCGTAGTAATCCTCCTCTGTTAGATGCAGCCAAAACAGGTGGGTCAGGACCGAGGTCCAGGATCCCACCTGAGTGGAAACAGTCCAACAACTTCCCTTGTAGGTCTACATCTCCCCTTTCCTGGGCACCCCACTCTCAGTCCCAGCATGCACAGAAAAGGTATTTACCATGGCTGTCTGTTTCTCAAACTGCTTACCATATTTACTTGTAGCAAGAATGTCAGATAAAAGCTGGCCAGCTAAACCATCCTCTTCTTCCTCCTCTTCCTCCTCCTGGTCCTCCCACATATCATTGGAGTCATCTACTTGGAGATGAAAAGCAGAGCAGTCATGCATTTCCCTCTCCACCCCCAGCCTCTGGTGACAAAGTGCCAGCCATAGAGGCCATTCAATAAACTACTTTTCTTTTTCTTTTTACATTAGTGACTACACAAACCAAATTGGTAATTGGACAATTTATAACTTGATCTGCCAGGCTCTGAGTATCCCAGGTCTCCGCACCTTGATTCCACTCTGCAGGGGTAGCTTGGCGAGCCGCATTCGCCTCCATGACGTTGGACAGCTCGTTGATAATCAGCTTCAGGATCTTGACCAGCAAAGGAATGTTTGTCCAGCGCTCTGGGTCTGGGAAGGAAGGAAAAGCCTTCAAGTCAGACTGTCACTGGGTCCATCCTGGCAGCATTTCCATCCTGGCAGAGCCACTCACCATGCAGCTCATCATCCCTGGCTCTTCTCAGCCACCAAAGAATGATTTAAATGACTTTATTCTGCTTGAAATTAGTAATAGTTCAAGTGTTGGGAGAGAGAAGAGGTTATAGGAGACAAATTCTTATCAATAATGAAGCCATGAGCCAGGAGCTGGTGGCTCATGGCTATAATCTTAGCTACTCAGGAGGCTGAGATCTGAGAGCTAGCCTTGAGCTGAAGACCCAACGGACAGTGCCCAGGCCCAGAGTTCAAGCCCCACAGCTGACAAGAGAAAAAAAAAGAAGCCATGAAGCTAAGAGCATAGTAATCTAGTCCCTAATGCTTGTAGTCTGCAGGACAGCACAGGCAACTAACTTCATGCTCATAGTTAAAACACAGCAGCTCCTCTGCATACATCACATTTATAACAACAACAACAACAACAACAACAGACAGCATCTGTATCTATGATTAACTGAAGTCACAGGCCACATCTAACCTGATAATGAAGAATGTAGACTATATGAGTCAAAGCCCCAGAATGGAGCTAATGCTACCCAACACTCCTCTTGCCAATGATCAAGCACAGGAAGGATCCCTACAGTCTGAGCCATTATTGGCCTATGGTTTCTTGCTGCTTCTACAACAAAATACTACTACCGATTAGGTCTGAACACAGACTGCAGTGCACTCCTGCCCCCTCACCCAGGCGTTCTTAGCTCCTACAGAGGGGATTGGCGGGACAGCAGCATCACCTACTTTTGGTTGACTTTGAGCGGGTACGGATGCCCTCATCCATGTTGTAGATTTCTTCTCCCTTCACACGGATATCCTGTAGCCGTTTGTCATCTGCATTGATGCCATGCTGGAGCAGTTTACACAGCGCCACCGAGCTGGCAAGAGGTAGAAAAGGTCAAATAACCACCCGTCCAAGGATATCAGCCATTATGCCATTTCTCTGATAGTGAACATTTTGTCCACAATTAATTAAGGACAACAGAGTTCAGTTGAAAATGGGATTCAGAATTCATGAAGTGGTCTAATGAGAGCTGTTCTTCATGAACAAAGATAGAGAAGGCAAGCATCACCACGGCTATATGCACTGCACAGGCCTCGGGGAATAAATGTCTAGGCTAGCACATTAGAAGGCAGGCTGGGAAGGCCTAGATTCACCACTAGCAGTAGTTACTTAGCTGGTGAGGTGTGTTGCAGAGGCAGGTTTCTGGAGGGTAGATACCAAACATACACGTCTACTATGTTGGTCATTTTGGGGGAATTTCAAGATGGCAGCCATTCAAATATGCAGGTTAGTAAGAAAGAGGGCAAAGGGAACTATGAAGGGCAGGTTAGTATAAACAAACAAACAAACAAACAAATCAATGGTGTTAAGGCAGGGAGGGAAGAAATGTGAGTAGCAGCAGAGTGCTCAGAGAAGAAAGATGGCTCTACCTAACTTTGCCTTCATACTGTCCATAGAACAGGTGTTGTCGGCTTGTCCACTCAGCCATCACAAACTCCAGGGCAGGTTTACCAGTAGGTCCAGGGAGGCTACACAGGAACTCCAAGAGAGGTTCTAGCTGAGTGTGCACCAGATGTGCAAATACCATGATCAGAGACTACGAGAGAACAAAATGGACACTTGCCTCAGAGAAACTGATTTCTAAGGCACAGGAGGCAAGATGAAATGGCCTGTCAGGCAAGAAATAGTCAATGCACCATAGAGATCATTCACAGGACAGGCAAACAGACTTCCTTGTCCATATTTACTAGGCCAGAACAGACCCATTTTATTTAACTTTTCAGAAGGACTGTACAAGCGTAAAACAACTCAGGGTCTACACGATCATTTACATTTCTATCATGAAGCATGGCTGGGAAAGGCCAACTCTCCACTGTCCTTACCTGCATGACACTGAGGGTCTCTGCCTGCTGCATCTTACTGAGGATGGCACGAAGAATCTGGTCCAGATTTTCCCCAAGCTCCCGTCCTGCCTTGGAGATAAGGGTGGAGACGAGGCGGCCCACAAAGGCTGCGGTGAACTCTGAGGTACGGGGGTCTAGAAGCTGGCTCACCACTTGCATCACATACCACAGTCCGTTGTGACCTTGTTCGTCATGCCACTGGGCTACCTGTTCCAGTGTCACTGACACATAGGCCCGCAAGCACTCTCCACCATTCTGGGGAGACAGAGGTGACAAGCAAAATTAGCAGTGGGGGTGGGGGAAGGCAGATGATGACAGTTGTCAGGAGGCCCTCAGCCTGGAAAGGTAAATGTTATTCTCCGAGGGCTATGCCTCAGGAACTGGAGGCAGGAACTCACTGTTACTGGCTGGGAGCTATTTTCTGCCTGGCCTCTGTGTCTCAGATACCTGCATGGTGGCGTTATCGTCTGTGTGAAGGGTGCACTGTGCCACGGCAGGGAACGCTTGACAGATGAGAAGCTGGGAAAGGGGAGGTTTTGTATTCCGTACTACTGTAGTCAGGATATCAATGGCTGTCTGGAGAAGAAAGAAGAGTCAGAACTGTCTCTGGAGGAAAAGATGTCCAATAACCAAGAGGCTTACTGAGTGGATATAACATAGCAACCCAGAGAAAAGGAACAACTGGTAGACAGAGCTCTTGGCCTCCTTATGGGAACACCAATGGCTTTCCTGGCTTCCAGTCAGGCAGGTAGGATCCGTGGTGGCACTTGCAGACCACTCTCTTTCATACAACAGGCCTGGCAGCCACTCACCGCACACAGCCCCGCAGGAATCTTGTCTGCTGGGGCCTGCATGATGCTGACGAGGGTGGGAATGAGCCGCATCTGCATGGGGCCTTGACAAGCTTCGATCTGAGACAGCTCCTTGAAGATGTCTTGAGCCAGTGAGGCAACGACAGGATCTGCAGTGGAGAAGGCGACTTGAGCCCCTCAGCCCACTCATCTACCTCGGCTTTAATCATGTTTGTTTTTGAGAGGTTTTTTTTTTGTTTGTTTATTTTGGTCCGGTCTAGGGGCCTGAACTCTGGGCCTGGGCGCTGTCCCTCAGCTCTTCAGCTCAAGGCTAGCGCTCTACCACTTGAGCCACAGCGCCACTTCTGTTTTTTTTTTCTTTTTCTTTTTCTGCTTATGTGGTGCTGAGGAATCAAACCCAGGGCCTCATGCATGCAAGGCAAGCGCTCTACCCCTGGGCCACCTTCCCAGCCCTCATGTTTGTTTTGTCCTAGGTAAGAACTACCGCGCTGATTACTTTTCACACATTCAAAAGGGGCCAGCCACATGAACAATCTGCAGAACAGGGGAGATCTAACAACACTCATATTCTCTTTATGGCAATGACGTCATGAGGTTATCCCTGAAACAAAATTTAGCCTTTTTTCTGGGATAAATTTTTTGTGTTGTTTGCTGCTATATAGCCCTGTTGACATGAAAACTATTCAAACATAACTCTTAGTAGGTAGCCATGACAGAAAGAACTGTCACAAAAGCAGACCCTGCTGAAGAAATGGACCTTTGCTGCGTATGCATATTTTGAGATAGGGTCTCATTATGTAGCCAGTGGCTGGGCACTGGGCACGCCTGTCATCCCAGGCTACAAGAGGAGCACAATGGCTGGTCTCAGTTCTCAAGCTGCCTGCCTCAGCCTTGAGAGTACAGAGATTATAGGCATGTGTTACCATGCCTGGCTAAGATATGAAACTTTATGTTGACCTTCTTTATACAATATAAAGTCCTTGTTTATACAGCATGCAAAAATATATGTAGTGTAATGCTAAAAATCACTGCAGCATTGTTTGTAATAGGAAAAAAAATGGAAACAATCTATTAACAGAATGGATAGATTATGATGCAGCCATTTTATCGAATACTGTGGATGACTGAAAAGAATGATACATCCAAACATGCAATGTGGAAAGCTCTTAGGATGTATTTTTTTTTCGGGGGGAGGACAGATAGAGGGGTCAGTTGTGGGGCTTAAACTCAGGGCCTAGACATGGTTCCTGAGCCTTTTCACTCAAGGCTAGCTATCTTCCACTTCAGGCCATAGCACCACTTCCAGTTTTCTGGTGGTTTCTTGGAGGTAAGAGTTTCATGGACTTTCCTGCCTGAGCTGGCTTTGAACCATCATCCTCAGACCTCAGCCTCATGAATAGCTAGGACTCCAGGTGAAAGCCACCAGCACCCAGCAGGATGTATTTTTTTGGGGGGGGTGTTGGGGGGGGAGGAGGGTCGGTCGTGGGGCTTGAACTCTGGGCTTGGGCGCTGTCCCTGCGTTCTTCAGCTCAAGGCGACCGCTCTACCGCTTGAGCCACAGGACCACTTCCAGTTTTCTAGTGGTTTATTGGAGATAAGAGTCTCACAGACTTTCCTGCCCGGGCTGGCTTTGAACCTCGATTCTCAGATCTCAGCCTCCTGAGTAGCTAGGATTATAGGCGTGAGCCACTGGCGCCTTGCTGGCAGGATGTATTTTTAAAAAGTGAAAAGAAAATCAAGTGAACATGTTCCTTATCCTAAAGTGATTCCTACTGCTTTGAGCTTCAGCATTTACAACAAACACTCTTAATATTTGTCTAGTAATAAAGTATGAATAGATATATCCATAACATAAAATGGAGAAAAGTACTAAAGGAAGAAAAAAAAAACTCCATACCTGTCATGCTACCACCTAGAGATAACTACCTTAGTCCCTTAGCATCTAGATGTATTTTCTCTATAAATACCCTTTTCTAAAACCAAAGCTTGCTATCATATCTTCTGGATGTTTTTGTAAAGATCATCTTCTATTCAGTTGTTTTTTTTTTTCCCCACAGTACTGAGATTTGAACTCAAGGTCTTGTGTTTGCTAAGCAGATGGTCTATCACTTGACATGCTTTGCCTGTCCCTTTGGTGCCGAGTTAGTTTCAGGATAGGATTATGTCATGTTGGCCTGGACCACAATCCTATTAGTGCCTTACTTTGTTGCTGGGAGAACAGGTGCACTCCACTGCCCCCAGTCACTGTGTATCTCTTGAAGTATGGAACGACAGGCACGTCACACTGTACCCAGCCATTGAGTAATACAGGGTCTTTTGGCTTGTTTTTATTGTCTGTACTGGGTCTTGAACTCAGGGCCTCTTGCTAGCTTTTTTGTTGAAAGCTGGAGCTCTTCCATTTGCACCATATGTCTGCTCTTGGCTTTTGGTTTTCTAACTAGAGGTAAGATTCTCTCCGACTTGTCTGGGCTGGCTTTGCATCTTGATCCTCAGATCTCACTCAGCCTTCTGAGTATCTAGTCACCAGTACCAGTTGAGTCTTGTGAACTTTTATGTCCAGCGTGGCCTTGAACTTTGATATTCCATCTCTGCCTTCCAAGCAGCTAGGATTATAGGCTTGACACACCATACTCAACCACACTATCTTTATAATGTAAACAATTTGCATGGTTTTTGCTTAACATAAAGCTTGTTTTTTAACAGCTGCACAGTACTTCATTTTTTTTTTGGGGGGGGGTGGTCATGGGGCCTGAACTCTGGGCCTGAGTGCTGTCCCTCAGATATTCAGCTCAAGGCTAGTGCTCTACCACTTGAGCCACAGTGCCACTTCTGGTTTTCTGGTAGTTTATTGGAGATGAGAGTTTCACAGCTTCTCCTGCCTGGGCTGGCTTTGAACCATGATCCTCAGATCTCAGCTTCTTGACTAGTTAGGATTATAGGTGTGAACCACCAGCGCCAGGCAGTATTTCATTTTATAGACATATTTTTAATCAATATAAAAACATTTATGTTTATATAACTGTAACCTTTTATAATAATAAAAAATAAAAAAATTTGTGTCAGGTGTGGTTGACACATGGCTATAACCTCCACATCAAGAGGTTAAGGTAGAGGTTTGTGAGGTATGTCTCAAAAAAACAAAACAAAACAAAACCCAAACAACCCAAAGGCTGTGGATATAGCTTGCTTAACGTGTAATGCCCTGGGTTACTTCTGGCATTGCAAACAGAACAATCAATCAATCAATCTGATGATTAACTTTGTTCATCAAGTTCTGAATATTTCTTTTTTTTTTTTCAGTCGTGGTGCCTGAACTCTGGGCCTGGGTGCTGTCCCTCAGCTCTTCAGCTCAAGGCTAGCACTCTCTGCCACTTAAGCAACAATGCCACTTCCGGCTTTTTCTGCTTATGTGGTGTTGAGGAATAGAACCCAGGGCCTCATGCATGTAAGGCAAGCACTCTACCACTGAGCCACCTTCCCAGACCCTGAATGTTTCTTATTTTTAGTGCTGTAGATCAAACCCAGGGCTTGGTACATGCTAAGCAAGTGCTCTACCTCTGAGTTATAGCCTGAGGTGCCAGTATTTTCTTTTCTAAATTATAGTTCCAGACCGGCCTCTTCTTCTACCAGGCTTTTCATTTATTTACTTAATTTCCTACTCTATGTCAGAATTTTGGATTCTACTTCTTGCTTATTGGCCTTTTATTCAAGATCTTTCCCACTTAGTCCTTATTCTACTTTTTAATACTGCTCTAACTATAGTCCAACTTTCTCCTTTGCTAACTGAAAGTCCTATCTCTGCGTATAATGCTTAAGACCAGTCACCTAAGTTCATCAGTACCAATCATCCTTTCTTAAGCATACCATTACTGTACTTGAGGAAAATGGCGATGGTAAAGGGGCAGATTTTGCTTTCCATGTTTGCTGTGAATTCTGGGTCTACAGTACAAACGATGCACAGGGTCTCCATAACGAGGTTGAGGACCTCTGAGCTGAACTGGGCTGCGAGATGAATTAGGCCATCAAGGATGCTGGGGAGGAAGGGCTGAAGCACATGGGTGCTTTCTGAGACTTTCAGTTGATCACAATAACTAGAGAGAGAGAGAAGCAAAAATTATTCACAAGCAGTGCTAGTGATTAAACCCCAGGGTTTCCTATGCACTAACTATGTGCCATACTACTAAGTTATATTCACAGTCATCTTCTATTCTTTGTGTGTGTTTATGTGTGGATACTTGGGTTTGAACTCAGAGTCTGGGTGCTGTCCCTGAGCTTTTCTGCTCAACACTAGTGCTGTGCCACTTGAGCCACAGCTCCACTTCTGGCTTTTTGGTGGTTAATTGGAGATAAGAGTCTCATGGACTTTCTTGCCTAGACTGGCTTCAAACCAATGCTCTGATCTCAGACTCCTGAGTAGCTAGGATTACAGATGTGAGCCATCAGTGCTGGCTCCTATTTTCTTTAAAATTTCATCCTTCTCCCTGTGTTGAAGCAAACAATCCATCCAAATTAAGATATTAAATTAGATATTTCATGATTCTTCAGACTAGTTGCTGCTTTAGGTAGTCCTAAGATTTAGATGTATATTTCCACTATTTTACAAAATACTGGTAAAGTATCTCATACAACTATTTTTTTTTTTTTGGTCTGGTCGTGGGGCCTGAACTCTGGGCCTGGGTGCTGTCCCTCAGCTCTTCAGCTCAAGGCTAGCGCTCTACCACTTGAACCACAGCGCCACTTCTGGCTTTTTTCTTTTTGCTTATGTGGTGCTGAGGAATCAAACCCAGGGCCTCAGGCATGCAAGGCAAGCGCTCTACCACTGAGCCACCTTCCCAGCCCCATGATATATAATTTTCGTAACTGCATTTTTTTTTTTGCATCTCAAAATAAATTTAAGTATGTAAACATTACACGAAATTAGTATTCATCTGTAGGGTTCAAAGTTCTTCTTTTTGTTTGTTTTTTTATCCCTGGTCCTGGGGCTTGAACTCAGGGCTTGGGCACTGTCCCTGAGCTTCTTTGTGCTCAAGGCTAGCTCTACCACTTGAGCTATTGTGCCACTTCTGGTTTTTTCTGAGTATTTTATTGGAGATAAAAATCTCACGGACTCTACTGCCCAGGATGGCTTCGAACTCCAATCTTAAGTTCTCAACCTCCTGAGTAGCTAGATTTACAGGCGTGAGCTGCGTGAACCACCAGTGCCCAGCAGGTTCAAAGTTCTTTACACACAGTTGAATTATATTTACCTCCACCAAGTATTTACTGGATGCTGCTTGCCATGTTACAAACGAATTGCCTAAATCTCAACTTTGCTTTTCCTTTAGTGTGACAGTCAAGTTAAAAAGCAACAAAAACATTGCATCTAAGTTCTAAGACCTCAGTACTGAAATAAGGCGTTCACAGGACCCAAGAATTAGTTTTTAAGTTATTATTTTTGTTCCTTTTAAGTGTCTTATAGTCATTTATGTTAGCTGTCAAAGCTCCACAATGATCTCAGCCTTCTGAGTAGCTAGGATTAGAGGTGAGTCACTGGCACATGGCCATAAATAAACATTTAAAATATGCAGCAAGGAATGAAAGGTTTTGTATACTAATCTCCCTAGAGAAAATTAAAATAATTAGGTATGCTCACCACATACTGCTTATCCATCTAAAACAACATACAAAGTAATGTGTTTATTTTACCTAAGTATTTTCACATTCACTTCTCAGTTTGCAAATTTGACTATTTCTATAAAACCACAACACAAAGCTGGGCATTGGTGGCTCACCCCTGCAACCCTAGCCAGTCAGGAGGCTGAGATCTGAGGATTGTGATTTGAAGCCAGCCCAGGCAGGAACGTTTGTGAGAACTGTGTCTCCTGTAAACCACAGTACCAAAAAAGCTGGAAGTACAGCTGTGGCTCAAATGGTAGAGAACTTGCCTTGAGGAAAAAGAAGCTCAGAGATAGTGCCCAGGCTCTGAGTTCTAGCTCCAGAACTGGCACCAAACAAAACAAACAAAATGCCAATAGATAGTAGACAAATGTTATTTCCCTGGTTCTACCCTTGTCCATAGGTTTTAATGATTTTTTTTGTTATTTAGTTGGAAATTGCTTTTAATCTTACATGAAACTTGTCACAAAGGATCTTCCTTTTTTTTAAAAATATAGCAAGAAGTAATACATATAAATAAAATTAAGTTTCACAAGGTCAAAATCAATACAGATACTGATAGCTGTCCTACAGACCAGAAAAACTTGTATCAGTCATGTTGTAACTAGAGCTTGCCATTTAGAAAGGCTTCAGAGCTTTCTGAAAAAGTTATTTTTGGTGCTCTGAAGTTTGAACTCAGGGCCTCACAACTTGCTAGGCAGGCGCTCTGTCACTTAAGGCACAACACTGTAGTTTATCTCTTAACACAGTGATGTATAAATTGCAGCTCCTCAGTGCTTTCTAAAGAGATAAATACAATAAGCACAGTATCTTAAAATGCCTCAAATGATAAGAAGACAGGGAAGGCAGGTGGAAGATGAATTTGTACTGGTAATGCTTAAGTTTGGATCGTAAGACATTCCTTAAAACAGGGCTAGAGATGTTACTGCCTAACAAGTATGAAGCCTGGAATTCAAACCCTAGTACCATTAAAAAAATTAGCATTATTACTTTTGGTTCTTTTGGTGCTGGTACTTTTGGGCTTGAACTCAGGGCCTAGGCACCATCTCTGAGCTTTTTCACTCAAGAATGAAAAACAACAGGGAGTAGGAGGACATCCTTACAAAAGCCATGTTACCTGTACAGCTGCAGCCCCCCTGTTCACAACCCTCATTTTGAAGATCTTCAGCAGAAATTTCCAAGCAACTTAATAGACTGGACAATCATAGTTTGAGATACAGACCTGAGTCCTTTTTTCTTAAAGCAATTCTTACTACCCTAGGGCAGCATACTCACCCCCAGATGGCTCGCACAGCAGAAATTCGAACTGATGGTGGTTGTGACTCATGAAGACCACTAACTGTCGCCTGCAGGAACTGCTGGATCAGTTCAGGGGACATAGCAACAGTGAAGCGACTGGCAGCCCAAAGTGCTCGACCCAAGAGGAAAGGAGACACTGGGAGAAAGTGAACAATTACAGGTTGGACAGTGCAAAGTTCCATTACATGCCTGCCTTCCCCTCACTCCCTCGCCAACTTCACTCCTCAAATGTTCACAAATAACTGAATGCTATGCCATATACCTAACTTATTTGGGAAGAAAAGTATTTCACAGAAAAGAAGCAAATATGTGTACAGAATCAATTTTACTGTAGGCATGAGATCTAGAATACTGAAAGGCTAAGACTTTACTATCCCAGTTCCATCCCCGCCCTCACTATTCTTTATATCGCCTTGTAAACATCTACACTGCTACTTTTCTTCCTACATTTTTGCCTTTACTGGAATATTAACTACAGTTCTGCCAGTACCCAGAGATCACCTTAGGCTGGATGTGGTAGTTCACATCTATAATCTCAGCTGCTTAGGAGGTGCAGATCAGGAACATTTGATGTCAACCCATGAGATTCAGTCTTAACCAATAAGCCAGGCATGGTTAATTCTAGCTATGTGGGAGGCACTGATAGGAGGATGTGGTCTAAGGCTCATTTTGGACAAAAATGAGATCCTGTCTGAAAATGAAGCAAAAAAGAACGGGGAAGCTGGGTGCTGGTAGCTCATGCCTGTAATCTTAGCTACTCAGGAGGCAGAAATCTGAAGACTGTGGTTTGAAGCCAGCCCAGGCAGGAAATTCTGTGAGGTCTTATCTCCAATTAACTACTCAAAACAGCTGGAAGTGGTGCTGTGACTCAAGTGGTACAGCACTCACCTGGAGCAAAAGAAGCTCAGGGACAGCACCGAGGTCCAGAGTTGAAGCCCCAGAACTGGCAAAAAAGGACTGGGAGCATGGCTCAAATGGTAAGGCCCCTGACTAGCAGGTGTAAAGCCCTCAGTTCAAACCTCAATACTAGCAAAACAAAACAACCAATACGAATCAAAACAATACTTATCTTAGTTCTCATGGCATTTAAGGCTAAGATCACTCTACTATTATCTTGCTTTACCAGCTCGGTGTTTTGGTTATATTATAAACCAGTATATTCTCCTCTCTTAGTCTGAAGTAATCTTAACTCTGAGCCACTATAACTCTTTGTATTCAGCTTTCTTACATGTTATATGCTTTGATATTCCAGCTATTGGTATAAGAATGACTACTCTCTGCTGCTAATTATAAGCCACATGAGGAGACAAAACTTACTCAGATGGCATAGGTCTTTTTTTTTTTTGGTGGGTTGTGGAGCCTGAACTCAGGGTCTGGGTGCTGTCCCTTAGCTCTTCAGCTCAAGGCTAGAGTTCTACACTTGAGTCACAACATCACTTTCGGCTTTTTTTGCTTATGTGGTGCTAAGGAATCAAACCCAGGGCCTCATGCATGGCAACTACTCTACCACTGGGCACCTTCCCTGATCATGATGTCATAGGTCTTAACTTCGTTACAAAAACAATTAGTTGACCAGAACTGTTGAATAAACCCTAACTACATTAATACGTTAGCAAAACAGAGCAGTATTAGTCAAAGTATGGTCCAAGAACTCCTAGAAACCCTTATAAAAACCTCTTTTTGAAGCTGGGCACTGGTGGCTCATGCCTGTAATCCTAGCTACTCAGGAGGCTGAGATCTGAGGATCATGGTTCAAAGCCAGCCCAGGCAGGAAAGACTGTGAGACTCTTGTCTCCCATAAACCACCAGAAAACCGGAAGTGGCACTGTAGCTCAAGCAGTAGAGTGCTTGCCTTGAGCTAAAGAGCTGAGGGACAATGCCCAAGCCCAGAGTTCAAGCCCCATGACCACAAAAAAAAAACCAAAAAAACCCCAAAACACCTCTTTTGGGGGAGGTTTGTGATACTGGAGTTTGAACTCAGGGCTTCATGATCTCTTCCCAAGTAGTTAGGACAAGAGTGAGTCACCAGTGGCTGGCCAGTTGAGTTAACATTCTATTATAGCAATGTTAAAACATTATCTGTCTTTTCACTCTCTTCTTTCACAAATATAGAGTGGAATTCTCCTATGACATGATGTGATGTGACATGACATTGTGGCTCTGACATTAATGGATATAAGTAAGCCACAATTTTCCTATTTTAAAGAACTGAGTTTTCAATTTTAGTATGTTAAATAATGATAAATAAAATACACATAAAAAATCTTTTTGGGGGCTGGGAAGGTGGCTCAGTGGTAGAGCGCTTGCCTTGCATGCCTGAGGCCCTGGGTTAGATTCCTCAGCACCACATAAGCAAAAAGAAAAAAGCCAGAAGTGGTGCTGTGGCTCAAGTGGTAGAGCGCTAGCCTTGAGCTGAAAAGCTGAGGGACAGCACCCAGGCCCAGAGTTCAGGCCCCAAAACCGGACCCCCCAAAAAAAAATCGTTTTAGGACTTGCGACCAGTGGCTGCCAAGGCAGACAAATCCTAGACTATCTTCAATAAACCAGCAAAATGCTAGAAATGGAATGTAGCTCAAGTGTTAGGAGTGCCAACCTTGCGCAAAAAAAGATCAGCAAGAGCTTGAGGCCCTGAATTCAAGCCTTAGTACCACCATGAGCATGCACACGCTTGTGAGTGCGCATGCACACACACATACACACACACAAAGTGTTGTGCGCGCACTCACAAATCTCCTTGGGGTTTTTTTTGGTTGGTTGTGGGGCATGAACTCTGGGCCTGTGGGCTGTCCCTCAGCTCTTCAGCTCAAGGCAAGCACTCTACCACTTAAGCTACAGCACCACTTCCAGTTTTCTAGTGATTTATTGGAGATAGGAGTCTCATGGTATTTCCTGCCCAGGATGGCTTTGAACCGTGGTCCTCAGATCTCAGCCTCCTGAGTAGCTAGGATGACAGGTGTGGGCCACTGACGCCCGGACTTCCTTGGGATTTTTGTTAAGTTTTTTTTTTGTCGGTTGTGGAGGCTGAACTCTGGGTGCTGTCCGTCAGCTCTTTGGCTCAAGGCTAGGGCCTTACCACTTGAAGACACAGTGCCACTTCTGGTTTTTTTCTGCTTATGTGGTGCTGAGGAATCAAATCCAGGGCCTCACGCATGCAAGGCAAGGACTCATTTTTGTTAAGTTTTAAGGCTACAAAGGGTATAGTCCAAAGTGTTTGAGAATGGCTGGTACAGAAAGGGTTTTTTTTTGTCCTTGGACTTGAATTTGGTATCTGATGCTTTTGCTCACTGGCTGGTGCTCTACTACCTGAGCCACGCCTCCAACCCCAAGAAAAGCTTTTTAATTATAGGAAGTATTAATACATACTGGGTCTTTTGAAATACTGATTTCGAACAAAAATTTAAAATTCTTTGCTAAAGTTCTTCTAGAATCTTGACAGGCACTAAAACCTACCAGAGAGGTTGAGGTCTGTAAGGATGACATTGGTCAGGAAGCCATGCATGTCGAACTGGATCCTGCCGTTCTTCACACTGTCCGTGATGATGGACTTCACTGAGCCTAGGGCGAGCATGCAGGCCTCATGGATCTTCCACCTGCAAAAGGGACACCACAGCTGGTAAAACAAACCACACCGCCAAACACGGTAAGTAGTTTGGAGAAGATTCCGAAAAGGGCATTCCAGCACAACATATCCACCAAGGGCCATTTATCTACTCTCCAATCTAAACACTGTTAGTAAATTGTACTGAAAACAGAAATTGAGTAACAAGAGATTTTTCTGCTTAGAAACAAAATAAAAGCCCTTCCTTTGAAAGAGGGTAAAATGACAGCATTTTAACCAATTACTTTAGGGTTAGGAAGAGCGGCTTGAGAGCAAAGGATGGGTTTGTGTGCCTCGGATGTGACGTCTTCCGTCACCATGTCGCGCACTCTTACCAGTGCTCAGCACCACTGGTTTTGGTTTGTTCTGCTTCTTGTAAATGCCGAGTGCCAGCAGCAGCCAGGGCCACTGCACTCTCATTCTGAAAATCCGTGGCCACAGCCTAGTGAGAGAAGAAAAATGTGCATAGTAAATGTATTTTACATAAGCTGCATTCGTCAGGACTGTTACCAAGTGAATGGTTCAAATTCTTCATTATGCACTGAACTGTGAAGGTCTCCACAGCGCCTAGGCACTAAGATAATTAATTGCCCCCTTCGGCTGCGTTAAACAGAATGTAAGTAAAAATGACAGTCAGCTTTGGATAACAACAGGGCAGATACTGATCTTTTGGAACTTAAGCATGAAAAAATAAGGCTATTTTGCTCATTGAAAACTAGAGTAATCATTTCTTTGCGATGTTGGGGATGGAACCCACAGCTTTATTTATGCACACTGCTCCCGCACTGGGCTAGTCCCCAGCTCTTATAGTTAGTCCTTCTAATCTTTCACAGGTATCTTAGAAAAACTAAATGATAACCAAGAGTGATCCACCAACAAACCTCCTACCCAACAGGAAGCAACTGGCAGTTTCTTCATAGCATTCCAGCCTAAAGACAACACTAGGCACTAGGCAGAGGAGCCAAAGAAAACATGAGCAGATGTTCGTATGTTCATCTCTCAGCAGTCTTTTTTAAGATTTGTACAATAGTCTCATTGAGGGAAGGATTAAATCCAAGTATTCCTGACTCAACTACCCTTAGTCATTAAACACTTTATCTTCTACACAATTCTGAAAACCTAATATTTACTTGTAAGTCAGAACCAGAACTTGCAATTTCTGAGTCTTAGATTAGACCTGAGAGTTCTCTTGGATCTCCAAGAGTGAAATAACAGCGCTGGCCACCTGGGTTAGATGTCTAGGCAGAGAAAACCCTCAAGGGACAGAGGATTACTGGGCTAAAATATCTTACCAACAACAGGTCTTGAGCTGCAATCCTAACAGTGTAGGAGAAAGTATCATCGTCCTCATCTTCTACAAACTGTTGAGGGTTGGCAGTCCATACTTTAATCTGAAAAGATTGATGGAGTTAGATCTAAGGCCACCAACCTGTTATTGTTTTTCATCAAAAGACATGGAAGATTGTCAACATTTTATCCTGAACAAAATTCCAGCCTCAAAAGCTGTTTCTTTTTGTTGTATGTGGAAGAGACCTTAATCAGTAGCCAGGGTAGAACAAAAGCCCTCTTTGGACAAGCAGGCTTAGAGAAGTTCAAACTTGTATAACTTCACGTATTTGCTTAAGTGTTCTTGGTATACTGAAAACAAGGGAATGCCAGATTTCATGAGGTTACCCTTGTCCCCTCTAGGGTAAGTATTCTTCAAGAAAATAAGCAAGATTAGGTCTAATTAGGAGAAAACATCTGGTACCCTACTTTCTGGACTGCTTATTTCATTGGTACTCTTTACTTGTTAACTAAGACTAATGAAAGCAAGGTGGCTCTACTGTCCAGGACTGTTGCTATGCAGAGCAGTCCTGCAGGGTCACTTGGATACAGACTGAAATGGTTGGTCTTCCCCCGCCCACTCCCCCACCCCCAACTTACATGAGCGGCATTGTCTTATTCTTGATTGCTCTCTTCTGGTTTTAATGACCCACCAGCCAAGTTAATAATCTAATCACTACATTTCACTATTTATAGGGAAGGAATAAGTTCTCTTAGATGCTAGGATCACTGGGTAATAGTCTTACAGAGACTTTCCTACTAGAAAAAAAACTGTTCTAGTTTAACAAAATAAATACCAGGAAGTTGAAACATGTTGTCATGGGGATGGAGGCAAGAGGAGGGAGCAGACAAATGAAGAGAGGAAGGTCAGGCAAATACAGTCATTACATTCGGTGTACCTTATATAACAAGCTGAACTATGTAACTTGAGAGTATGGCTGGATTTGGAAAAGCGGGAAGAATGTTGGAAGGAGCGACACTGATAGGATGTATTGTACTCATAATCCTAACCTTGAAACCCTTTTGTACAACTATTTAAAAATAATAATAAAAGAGAAAAAAGAAAATAAAAGAAAAACAATGTTCTGAAAGCACAACTACTGAACATAGGAGTTGATTAAACGCCAAAGATGTGGCAATAAAATGATGCCAAAGCTTTCTTAGAAACTTCACATGCAGGACTCTCTTATAGTCTATCTTATAGAAATCAAGTGTTTACTTGACCAAGACCAGAAATTCATGAAGCTGGTCTTTCCAAATATCAGTTAATAACTGTCTCCCAAATACTACTTACCTGCTCCTCAGTGATCTGCATGTACAGGATAATATAGTAAATCAACTCAGGCAAGGCTTTCTTAACAGTGCTTTTGAATTTGCTATTTTCTAGTAGGGCATGGACAAATTCAAAAATACTAAAGACGAGATTTTCAAAGCCCAGGACTTCACCTATAGCAAATACATAAAAGAAGAAATTAACGATATGATAGTGAAATGAATGCATGCTGGAAATAAGCTACACTGTAAACTTGCTAATTATTACATTTGAAGGCTTGGTTGAGGGAGCTGACGAGTCAAAGAAAGAAACTATGGGTAATAGTTTTTGGAGTAAAAGCGTAAGAAAACATGAATTTTTCAGTATGTTTATTTTTTATCTGAAATACAAATATTGAAAACAGAAAGTATTAAACTCAATTAGAAAATTCACTTAAGGGGCTGGGAAGGTGGCTCAGTGGTAGAGTGCTTACCTTGTATGCCTGAGGCCCTGAGTTCGATTCCTCAGCACCACATAATCAAAAAGAAAAAAGCCGGAAGTGGCACTGTGGCTCAAGTGGTAGAG